TTCGTTCGATCGCCACATAGAGAAGTGGATGTAGAGAGAGATGTTATAAGAGGTTTGGGCACGTTCCTTCAAAAACGCCTTGTAACCCTAAGGGGAATCAACAATTAAAATGTATCTCTCTATCTATCGTTAGGACTAATGGACAATCGTCAGTGGAGACAACTTTATCTGGTTTAACGCTTACGTTATATCCTATGACCAGATCGGGTTTCACAAAAGACGGGCTACGTATTAAATTGTTTCGATTTTAATATAAAAAATAATAAAGATATTTCGGACTCAGTTGGAATAACCCCGTAAGTGTTTAGAAAATCTTTTGTACAAGATGTCTTGGAATTCAAACCAATTGATCAATTGGCGTATGTCGCGTGAAAAACAGTATTGGTTTGAATTCCATGACATGTTGTACGAATGATTTTATAAACACTTACGGGGTTATTCCAACTGATGAGTCCGAAATATCTTTATTATTTTTTATATTAAAATCGAAACAATCGAACATAACATTTTATCGGAAGAAATAAAGGAAATAATAATATAACGGGACAAGTTAATTCTTACTTAATAAAAATATAATGCAAACAAATTTAATACAAATAAATATTTTATTAAAAGATGGCCTTTTCTAATTTAATTGTTGGATACATATCGGTCTTGATTCACGACATCATTGTAATCCCGTAAAACATGCTCGAGTGATATAGGAAGTGTGATACAATTGACTTTATCAAAATGGCTCCTAGGGTTTTTAGATTACAAATATGTAAGCTTCCTGTAAAATGCCAGGTCTGAGTTTTTCTGTTTCGTCAAAACATATCTCATTATTTGCCGCGATGTTGATACAAAGTTTCTCTACATTTTCCATTGCGTCCATTAAACAGTAAGCTCGATTAAATTCGTTTCCATCGTTTCGCACGCTCTACGATTTCGTCGGTATCGAACACATAGCTCCCTTGGCACAACGAATTAATTGCGGTAGAAACTGAAACGAAGATCATATTGAGCCGAACCGGATTATAGATGTGCAATGTGCCGCTCGTTTGATTCGTCGAATTAAATGTACCCCAGTCACGGCGTATAGTCGCAGTTACCGCAATTGCTACGTGCACGTCTTGCAAATCGAGCGCCGACGTCGTTAATAGCGACGCAATTTCGCGCAACGCATCAGACGAGCCTGCGTAATTAGCTGCGCTTCGCGGGAAATTGACACAATCGGCCGAGGCGGACGCGGTTTTTCCTCCACGGCGTCTGATTTGTCTTTTTCTTAGAACGTTTCCCCTTTAATTTTCAAATTCCCGTCCAATTGGAAGTAGAATAAAGCAATAAAAGCTTAACGACAACCCGGCATCTTGTCCCCTGTCGGATTTTCCGCAGAAACGCGCCCGGCAGGGAAGTGGTCAGCTGTCAAAGGTCAGACGGTCGAGCCTGCATTCGGATCGTCAAGGAACTCGGGTCTCGCCCGGTCCTCGCCCGCGGCAATTCGCCTGTTCGCTCGGGATCCCGGACTGGTCTCTCTCTCTCTCTCTGTCAAAAGTGAACCGGTCTTTCGTGCGCACGTAATACGGGGCGCGATTACGAGGTACCGCATAGTGACATTGGGCGCGGTTCTTTGACGGCCGCGGCTGCAGTCGCGTTTTCTGTTCGGTGAAAGTCGATCCGCGAGCGCGAACCACTCTCCTTCTCGTCCCTTCTTCGTTCCGCTGCACTCTGTCTTGCATGAGAGACGAACAGAGGGAGAGAGAGAGAGAGGGGGGAGAAGGAGAGAAGGTGTAATTTGGATTACATGTTACTCTTTTTTGAAACTTCTGTTCTATTCAAGAACTGGCCGTTGTGGTTGATCCTGGGCGATGTGTTTTCACGAATGATAGCTTCTGTAATCTCTCGCAATAAACTTGAATTACAATTATTAGATTGTCCATGCAGATGAGTCATTAGAAAGAGTAAGCCAAGCTTATATTATTCAAATAACAGCCGCACTATAGTCAAGTAAAGTACAATACTTGACGAAGTTGCGCTGGTCGATGCCGCTAATTGAATCAATCAATTTCTCTTGAAATCCATCTTGGCAGGACACCGACAATAAAAATAGCTACTAGGTTTATTCTTTCAAATGAGCAACATTTAATCTCTCTAATCCGTTTTTTTTTAAATAGCGATAAGAGCAATGACACGTCCACATGTCTTGCTGGGACGATAATTAGTACTAGCCCAAATTTACTTTATATTAATTGTCACGTGTTTTTTTGAAATATGTACACGAGTGCTTCAATCGTGTAAAACAAAAAGGCATAGTAGAATACAGGTATACATATGTACGCGCTCTATTGTTACTTGAAAAGAAAATTCTCCCACGATAAAACTTCACTTGGTGCAGTTCGAGCTCGATAATTATTGTCTCTTTTTAATAAGATATTTATTAGTGTCTTCAAGTTGCCAGTACAATAATAAAATTCCAAATTTCATTCTACCGCAGCTGGCTGCATTTGTTAATTAACCGGTGCAGAAAATTTATTGCGAAAAATATTACCTCAGCCAGGGTTTGAACCTGGACCTTCCTGCACTCTAGGAATTTGTGAGACGCCCGCCTATGCAAATTTTCTGCATTCACCGGTTAATTAACAAATGTGGCCCAGCTGTGGTCAAATGAAATTTGGAAGATATTTATTGTCACGAATTATAGAGGATTATTTTCTACGAGGGTGTAATATGCGAATGGATTCTTCAAATTTCTGTTCCGATTTCTTGCTCTGCTTCGTATTTTTATAACTAGAGTGTACTAACTGATTATACACACAGATCGGTGATCAACTGGATAAGTAGCGATTCAGTAGATGCGCACAAAACGAATATAGAATATACAAAATAATATATAAACGAATATACAAAAACATTCCTCGATTTTATTATATGGTTTTCATATCGGAGAAGCTGTTACAGTAGTAAATATCGTTCACTGAGTAAGCGTCTGGCGCACAGTGTCCGCGTCTACTTGCCTGACTCGCGCTGACCTTTACTACTCGCTCTGAGAAAAGCGAGTTATTCGAGACATCTAAATGCGAACCTTCTTCTACATTATTTCGCGGGTTCTATTACATCGATATATAAATTATATCAATAATAAAAAGTGCAATACAGCGGATCCCCTTTGCGATATCAAAAAAAGTTTTCATTCACCCAGAAAGCGTTTTCAAGCGTTACGCAAAATATAATTTTCTCGCGCTTCGTTCGGTAATTGCGTGGCAATTTTAGCGCGTCACAATTACGTGTAATAATATCAAGAAAATTTCAAGGAAAGTCGGCGTCGATAATGACGTATTGTACAAAGACGGGAGATTCTTTTTATCGCGAGTTGCCAATTAAGGGCGTCAATGAAGACATCTCGAAGATGAAAAAGGCTATAATCCTGTTTGGCGATCACGGGCCAGCGATCGTAACGAAAAGCTTCTTTTCGTGCCGTTTAAAATTAAATGCGTCGCGCGTAGCCGAAGGTCGCGTTACGTGGCACGCGTGTATATACATACGCGGCGTGTTTCTTGCGTAAACACGACGACAGGGGCCCGGGGGCCCGTTACGCGTAACAACGGGCCCGGGGCTTACGTAACGGCGAGCGAGCGACGAAGTGGGCCCCTACATGACAGCCCACCGACCGACCCGCGATCGATTCGCGATGTCGATGACATTGATCGACACACATCACGAATACGTTTTGCCTTTACTTGGTGCACGCGTGCCATTCGCGCCTAGGCACTCGGTTTTTGTGGCGACCCAATCAGACGGAAAATTGATAATCTGATAGAATCGATTGCGACCAACAGATTCGTATTATTCCCCGATCACGTGGAATTCCGTCATGTCTTTGGTCCAAAGCCAGCAGTGTATGTGTGTGTGCGCGCATACTCGTCAAACTGCGCTGCCACATACAACTTTTCTCGCATCGGTTGGACCAACAAAGTGTCGGATGCGCAGAAGGGATCGACGTAAAACGAAACGAATGACGGAGTCGACGTACCAGATAGATAGATAGACTCCTTATGGCGCGCTGAAGACTACACTGAAGGATAGAGATATTGCACGAGTGATGCTTCTTTCTCGCTCTTTGCCAAGAGTGGGAAGAAGACAACGCATATTAGACACAAAGACGCACTTCCTCAGGCTATTGCTCTCTTTCACTTTAATGTAGTCCTCAGTTCTTCTCACGGGACGCGCGGTCCATTTGTAGAGGGAAGTCCCCTATTACGAGACAAATTCCTAATATGAGACAGCGGGCATTTCTGTTAAAAATTAGCAAGTAACATCTATTACTTCCACCGTGAATTCATTGCTTCTGAAGTGAAACCCGTTTAATGGCATTCATTCTGTTTCAATAAATTCTGTTAGATCGTGTAATCGTCGGGAATAAAGATTTGCAATTGAATTTGGACGTTGAAAACCCGCTGGCTCGCGTTAGAAGCCGTAACAGGGAATTTGTTGTTACGTCCGATTTTTGGAAGGGGACGCGTGTCTCATAGGGAGACAAGGAAAATGAGAGAATAGATTGGAATGTATTCGTCTATCTCTAATTATATCCAACAAGAAAAGGAAAGTACGAGTAATTTAAATGATTATGTAGAGGGCTTGCCTCTATCTGCCCATTTCTGGGAGTGCCTGCGGGAAGCATCTCGAATTAGCTGTGTTACAAAGCGGGGGAAGCGATGCATGCTGTTAGTCATGATTGTAACTAATGCTAACTTATTACTAATTAATATAATCCCTTAAATAGGCACTCAGAGAAAGGTAATAGCTTCAAAGTCACGATGCCTGCTGTAACAGGGAACGTTCCTCTACAAGTCTGTGCTTCGGCCGCACTTTGTCGTCACTTGACGCTTTTCGGCGAGTACGGAGGCGTATAAGAGCAATCGTGAAGAAACGAGACGAACGTACACGAAGTAACTCATGGGGCAAACAATTTATTTAGTTTTTGTCGATAATAATCCTAACAAATCACGAGTCGCGGAATGGTGGCGATTCGAGGTAGATACGAGCGGGCGATATAGTTTATGTTAACGCGGCGGCGGGGGTGTAAGCCAGGCCGTTAAGGGGCGCGGCGTAGGCGAAGGGCGAGGAGTACGCGGCGCTATACGCGGCGTAGGGGTAAGCCGGGTACGTGGCTATCGCCCTGGCGGCCGCGGGGAGTCCGATCAATCGGGGACCGGCGGCCTGTTGCTGTCGCTCGCTGCGCCCGGTTGCTGCCTGCCCGACGATCCGCGCAGACTGCGGTTCCTGCTGCTGCGTCTGCTCCTGCTGCTGGTGATGCTGGATCTGCAATCTCGACGAGCGCCTCGGTTGCTCCCGCAGCTGCTGCTGTTGCTCCTGCAGCCGCTGCAGCTGCTGGATCTCTCGCTCGCGCGACGCGGGTTTCGCCCTTAAGGGGCCCGACCGGGTGTCGAGCACCTCGACGTCGGAGTCGGGTCCGACGGCGGGGATCGACGGGGCGGCCGGGGCGGCACCGGGCGCGGCTGGAATCGCGACCGGGGTCAGCGCCGCCGGTCTGAGTGGTAGAACCGGAGCCGCGACCGCGGCGACCGCCGGTTCCCTGCTGACGATCGCGTTGAAGCCGTTGATCGGGTCCGCGGTGTACTCGACGATACGGCGCGTGCCGTCGGCCTCGATCAAGCTGTAGCTGCCGCGCACGACGTCGCCGTTGCGGGTCTCGTACTGGGCCTTGGAGTCGCCGGTCACCGAGTCCTGCACGTCGTATGCGAAGCTGTACTGCGGCACCGGGTCGAACTCCTCCAGCTTCGCCAGGGGCACGGCCGCCGCCGCCACCGCCGCCGGCACGGCGGGCACCACCGCCCCTCGAGCGAGCACCGCCAGTCCCAGGAAGAAGAAGAGCTGCAAATCAATATGTAATCTCGTCAACGCGACGCTCCGGTCACCTTACCGAGTCTCTGCTGGCTAAAAGCCAATCAGTGGGATTATCACTGGGAACAGTGAGTAGCCACTGATTCACTTGCACACACAGCCAGTTGAAAGGAGCGTTAAAACCAAGATCCTAATGCCTTCTCTTCTAGCTTCTCTCCCTTACCGTGCCGGCCATGTTCGCGCGCGAGAGGACCGCCAGAAGAGGACTGATGCCTCGGGGTGAGATCGCCCGTACTTTTATACGTCGTCGCTTTTGTGTCATCCGTCGACGATGATGCTCCCTGCAACCACCTACGCCCCACCTAATCACCGCCGCTGTCTCCTTCTCTCGTTTTTCCTATGTCTTCCTCTAAGGGGACCGTGCGGCGACCTCCGCGATGATCATTGCGATGTACAAGGGGTCCGACCTGCGGTTGTACCAATGTACGCTTGTATGTTTCTTCATATCACCGTCCGCCCGTACACGCGACTTGGATGCCAATACGCGTGTCGAAGACTCGAGGCCCCGAGGTCGTTCGACGAAATCGAGGAACCGTGTATCAGCGCGCTGCAAGACCCGCTGCAATCCTCCCTCTCCTCGCCTTCTGAGCTGTCGATGGGATAGTTAGGGTCTTAGCAGAACGGCTGACTCGTAATTTCGAGACGAGATGCTCATAAAATATCCTATTACTGGTGGTCGCACAGTAAAATCGTTATTACTTTTGTGTGCTTGCATACGTTTATTCCTTGCTAACATTGTCTTCGTACACACATTTAAGTCTCGAGACATAACACAGTATATTGTGCGTTTACTCGAGACAATGTTTTGTAAAGCATAAAATATTGTCTTGAAGTTACAAGTCAGCCGTTCCGCTAAGGCCCTTATTGTGCGTTGCGTAAGACAAAGGCTTGGAGCATAAAACATTGTCTTGAAAGTACAAGTGAGTCATTCTGCTCAGGCCATACCTCGGAGAAGTAGTGCCGTTAAACACGTACATAAATAATCGTCGTTACATCAATATATTATCATTTTTCACTCAACAACCCGGGGAAAAAAGACATATCCAATTTTATTTTATTGCATCAAAAATGTCAGATATGGTAAAATTTGATCAGATTGTGTCGAAATTTTAACCATTTATAAGTGTATCAAATCAGATGCGATCAGATGTAGTCAGATAAAACGGTATAAACATCTGACTAAATCTGACCACGTCTGATTTGATGTACTTATAAATGGATGCATTGAAATTTGGATATAGTCTGCTTAAATCTTGTCACATCTGACATTATTTGATGCAATTAGATAAAATTCGATATATATGGCTTCTTTCCCCGAGAATGTAAGTGTAACATGACACATGTCGCGTACAAGCCACAATAAAGCTACATCGTTGAGTAGAAAATTATAAGATTGCCATAATGTTGCTGCTGGTTGGTGTTTGCTGAGCCTTAAAAGTAAATGTACATACGCGAATTGAAGGGAAAACAGTGCCGACGATCAGTTTCAGATAACATCTCGAGCTGCAACTCGAAAAGTTACAGCATTACGGCGGTTATGACAAAAAAGTTTCTGCATAACATTATGTCCAGCAAACACCAAAGTAACAGATGCACAACATGAATAATAAGTCATCGCGCATGTGCTATATTACATATTGATGTTATGCAACTGTTACTTCGGTGTTTACTGGACGGTATATTAATTTACATATTGCATCGGATTTTCCACGCGTATGCCAACGTTCTCTTTCCATTACAATATTTACAAAACTGTCAATATTTCTCTGTGGAGAAACGAGTGTTCTTACTCTGGCAAAAAAGAGAGACGGCAACCCATTTTGGGGCCCGCAATTAGTAATCGAATTATTTGGATTGCGCGTAACTCTAAATCCTTTACGAATTTTACCCCGCGTAACTAAAAGCCGCAATTAGCTATTCTATCTATACCCAAGATTTTTAAGTAATACCAATCAATTCTCTCAACTAGTTCTGTCGATATTCAGTAACGCAAAGATAACTTTCACTCAGAAGGCACTAATCGAGATGTTAAGTTGCTTAACATAAAAAAAAAGGTCAAAATGTTTCCCAGAGTAGAGTTTCGAACAATCCAAATAATTCAATTATTAATTGTGGGCCTCAAAATTGGTTGTTAACTGTCCTCTTTTTCCCCAGAGTAACATTGCCAGCCTCGACGTTTGGAAAAGGTTGGACAAACGCGTTGCCTAACGCACGACCTAAAGCCGATGCGAGCGAGCAATTGATAACCGAAATACGCGCAATCGTACGCAACGCACGTAAGCACGCGTGACGAGTGCCAATATGTCGAATACAAACGGTCTATCAAGGCCGTTCGACGAAAGCTCGAAGGTAGCCACATGTCCCGCAATCGGCCGAACTCTATTACACATTCAGTGGAAGCAACGGTGAGCTCTGCTAACACGAATCGGCGCGCACAATTGCGTTAATTACCACTCACGTAATCGTTAACCGCCGTTAAGGCCTGCGTCCACGATGCTAGAACTTGGACCAAGCTCCTAGCATCGTGGACGCAGACCTGTACTCTACAATTCTCACGGCATATCGCACGGCAAACGTGTACTTACGATATGATTTTTCATCCTGAATGCATCAAATGTATTTCTCAAAATTTGCAATTATGGAAACCTTTCTTATGCTAAACTGTTTTGAAAATCCGATATCTTTTCAAATATTGAGACCGTAGATTTTTTTATTACAAGATCTATGCACGAAATCGCCTCGAGTAACCAACTTCAGAGTCGTCGCGCGCATTCCATTTAATAACATAATCTAACGCTATTTGAATTACTGAAGAAGTTTTGTGCAGAAGAGATCATTTTTATCAGCTTTTCGCAACAGATTTTTGTATTTCGAATTGCTGTCTAGACGAACTCAACGACGTCATGAGATGAAGTCCTTCGAACTTAAGATCTAGCACAGGTATTAATTTAGAAAGCAACGGGCTTTTTTGAAAAAGAAAATTTTTCACGACTCTTATAATTGTGTAAGCTGGTTAAGAATCTCTTGTCCGATGAAAGACGTTTTATTGTGCGTTTGTTATTCCGCTTTACATTTACACATCCGTTTTGATAGTCAAAATTAACTAAGCTAAACCAGACTAACTTCAAACGATTGTTTCGCTCCTTAAATTAATATATGTTTGCAGGGTATGCGTCTCTTCAGAGATTTCTATGTAACGCACGAAGTATAAATATCGCAGTACATATGGCATACATATGGCACGTATAAAATGATCCGTATAAAATTGTCGTAAAATTCCCTTAAGCCTCGCGTCGATGTGCGACTACGCGCGTATGCGTGCGTATCTGATGATCTGTAAACTTTCACAATTATATTCATAAAAAAAAAGAGCCGGAGTTTACGGGCCGAAATCCCATTCGCGTGGTTTTTACGTGTCATTACATAACTCAACGTCTTTATCTGCGTAACATTAAATCGCCCATTGCGAGCGAACTCGTTTCGTATGAACTCACGAAAAGTCTGTGAAAATATATCATCGCTCGGCGCGATAACGCTCCCACGTGCAAGGAATAAAAAGATCAGCACGCAATCCCGCAGCGAAGTTATGCCGGGGCAAAAATTAATCCGCACACAGTGTGTAAAAAAGAAGTTTAATACAAAACTCAATAGATTAACGTCTTAGGTCCGGCTTCACCAATGTCGTTTAACTTGAAGCCTAGTTTAATTCGTTCCTTGTCTCTTTCCAACTGTTACTTTAGATAGAGACAAACGTGAATTAAACCGAGATTAAAGTTAAGCGACGTTTGGTGAAACCAGGCCTTATGCGGCGACAGTCATACATTATATGTATAGAGTGACTAGCTTAAATCCGGGTTCATCGTGCATAATCATCGTTACATCCTTCAGCGCTGATAAATGAGCGGCGGCGCCGGAGCAACGACGGGTTTCACCACCGCCAGGGGTTCCCGGCGCACCACGGCGTTGAATCCGTTGACGGGGTCGGCCGTGTACTCGACGATCCGCCTGGTGCCGTCGGCCTCGACGAGGCTGTAGCTGCCACTGACGACGTCGCCGTTCCTGCTCTCGTGCTGGCTCTTGGCGTCGCCGGTCAGCGTATCCTGGACGTCGTACGCGTAAGTGTACTGCGGGTGAGGATCGTAATTCGTGACGTCAAGGGCGGCGACTGGAAAAGCATGTGCGGCCAGGGTGGCCGGGAAAGCTGGCACGGCTGGACCGGTTGGGACAGCTGGTACGGCTACACCAGCTGGAACAGCTGGGACTGGCACACCTCTGCATACCGCGAGCACCGCTGCAGCCAGGACTGTTAACTGTAACATAATATGATATATTAATGCAATCCACATCGTCGTTTTTCAGACAACAGACGAACACAGGTCGGTCATATAGCGCGCTCTTATGTTCAGGACCGTCTTGAATTTGTCCAAAGACGCCGTATGGAACGTTTCATTGGCTACGGAGTATCCGAAGATGATCTACAGCCTTGGTCTGACTATGAACTCCTATAAAGGTCTGTGTCCGCGGCGCTAGACAGCTAGAACTTGGACCAGGTTCTAGACGTCGTGGACACAGACCTTAAGAAAATGCAAGGGAATTCAAGTCGCAAACTTATAGTCGGCCAAACTGACAAGAGATTAATTTATTGAGAAAAAGGCTACAGCGTCCCGACCAAATTACAGGTCCTTATCGAGTCGAACACCTTATGTTGTAATAAGGAAACTTCTCCGTCATTTTTGTTGTATCCAGTTTAGTAAAAAAATTTAACTGTTATTCATTAATCATTTTTCTTATATACAAAGTACTTGTATCAGTTTCGTCTCAGGAGTTTCTTATCGTACATGTCTTTCTGCTCGTCGTTTGCATTCGTCTTTATTTCAAGGATGTTACTTTTGATTAATTATATTGCGTCGATGTAAAAAAACCAATAAGAGACCGCGAGATACGCTGAAAGCATGCGTGTTCCATGGCATGGCTCGAGAAATATGCCAAGTTCGTAATCGATCAGGCGAATCAGTGGGTCAATTCTGTATCTTACACTGTAGCGAAAATGCTAAAAGTGAGTAGCTCTGTCTCTTTCTGACTGTCCCCTTAAAAAAAAAGAGACAAAAGCCGCTCACTTTCAGCATTTTCACTATTTGCTCGCACTAGTGCGCACTAAGTGCACACTAAGGCCTGGTCTCACCAACGTCGCTTAACTTGAAGCTTAGCTTAATTCGTTCTTCGTCCTCTTCCAACTGTTACTCTAGAAAGAGACAAATATAAATGAAACTACGATTAAAGGTAAGCGACGTTTGGTGAAACAGGACCTTCGACTTGTTTGTAGTTAGTTCTTATATTTAACTTAGTCTTGAATACGTGTCCAAAGAGTATTTAGTCAAAAAGTGATCGGCGTAAACGTTGTACAAACGAGCTGGAAACAAGGCTGAGTGTGCACTCGGTGCGCACTGGTGAAACTTAAGTTTCACCACTGCAAGATACAGAATTGACCGCCTGACGCGCGAAATTCGTGCGCGATCCATCGTGCGCGTACCTTGACAGCCATCCTCCGTCTAGATATGGTTCTGAAGATCGGTAAACGCGTCGCAAACGGGACTGACGTTCGGACAAGCGGCGACAAACGTATTTATAGCGGCAACGGGGTGGTCGGCGGCCGGTTAGGCCGCAACCCTCGTTGCATCGCAAGCAGCCTTCGGAGTACGTGATGCGTCGACGGTAGTTTCGCTCTCGATTTATGACTCGCCGATATACATGCATATACGTGGGCGAACGCCGGACGAGGAAGAAAGCCGGCGGCGCCGAATCGGACGGGTTTATTAAATCGCTCACGGCATCGCTTGATCGCGCTCGCCATTCACGAAATGTCTCCGATAGCCCGGACGCAGCCGCGGAATTTTAATTTTGTCCGTAGCGAATATATTTCACGCTCGTCGTTACATTTTTTCTTTCTTCTTTTGGTGGGCGAAAGCGTTCGCGAAGATCCTTCTTTTCCGTGAAAATTATAGCGACGCACGCGACGCGCGCTCATCCCAACGAGAAGTCACTTGTCGAATCGACGTCGACCCCGTCAAATTGACCTCGAAGAATTTTAGTGAAGAATTCGATGTTCGCCAATGAAATTTCTCACCTTTCACGAGTTCACGCTGGAGGAAAAGACCCAGTGAGAAATGATTCGTCGAGCAACGTCGAAACGATCGACACCGTCGAATTGACGTTAATTCGACACCGTTTCGACATTGAATTCTTCAGTGAGAAACTTCTCATCTTTTTTACGAGTTCACGTTAGAGGAAAAGATCGAGCTGCCGACTGGGATGCCGTTGTAATTAAAAGAACCGACTCGCGCGAGGCCCAGTTTCGAAACGCCGTGCACCACGACGCGGAGCGCACGCGAGCCGTAAAGTCGCGCCACAGTTTCAGCGGGAGATTTTCGAAAGCCGATTTAAAAGATAATAAACGACACATGCGATTTACACGACGGGCGCTTTTCGAGATCGCCAAGATTACGCGCGGCGTGAGGGAAACGAAATAAACGGCGGCCAATAATTCTCCTATGTGACAGCGACAGCGGCCGGTGCTTTCACCCTTGCGTAATTCCGGGCGGTTTTGGGTGCCGGGGCTACAAGTGTAACGCTTCCGCCACGTTGCGTACGTCGGCGGGCGACGGTCCGGGAATATCAAACGCGCGGATGATTCACTTTTGGTATGTCTCGCATTTCGCTCGCGGATGATACAATCGTCGCGCCCGTTTTCTGCGACACAATTAGTGAGATTAGATTAGAGATAGAAAGAGGCGGAGGCGCGATAGCGCGAAATTATATATAGATTCTAGCAGGAAGAGCGCGTCAAGTGGAGCATCAAGCTCCATGGCATATGTTGCTGCAATTAATAATAAAATGTCCGGTCTTAAGCCCGTATCAGACTACGGATTGAGATTAGGATTAGATTGAAATTTGACCAATCACAGTAGTTTGCTAATCTCAAGTTTAGCGACTTTTACTCTTATTGGTCAAATTTCAATCTAATCTTTA